CACAGATAACTCAGACCTGTTAGTTATACTGATGTAATTATAGTTACATGTATCCTATCACAACTAACTAACAAAATGTTGTCACTATAATACCATCTATATATTACATAGGTGATTATCTAAATTTCATTGTTAGTAGGTTTTGAACTTACAATCTACTACTTGAAAAGATGATAACTTATTTACTTTACTAAGTTGTCACATTCTTTTTATCAAAAAATTAATATTGTATATTATTTTTTTTTATGATTACTTTCTTATTTATATATAGTAAATAAGAAACACAATGAATATATAAATTAACCAATTATATAAAGTAGATTGGAAAAGAATTTAAATTAAAAAGATCAAAAATTTATTGAGATATGTATATATATATATATATTTTTAAATATTAAGATGAGTACTTGTAACACAAAATTTTATTAATAGTATATTTGGCTAATAATTGCATTACAACTACAGAGGACAACTATGAAAAGAGCATATAACTAGCCATTTATACAACTTTAGTCATTGTCTAATTTAAGTAGTTTACATAAAGGTTCTATACTAGTTGTCATACCTAAAACCTGCTTATAGATTTTCTATTTAACTACTCTAGTTTTCATATTTACCTATCTAACTTTGCCTACCAATAACTCTGGCTAATGTTAATGAAAATATATTATAATTACTAAGTCTTTAAAGCAGTTTTTTGAAATCTTTAACCTTATACTAAACCTTCTAGAATCTTTAGTATCCTATTCTTACAGCTAATCTAATATCACTATAGCCAAGACCAACACTAGTAGTCAGAGTATATTATTAAACCACTATGCTCTTGTAAAGTTTATCCTAACTTTAGTACTAACTTCACAACATATCCTTACTACTTTGGTATTTAATTTAAGTTCCACCAAGCTGCTATTTCAGATAGCCTAAAAAGGTAGGTTGAAACTATACACCTCTAGTTTACATGTTTGCTAGCATATACTCTTTTTTTTGAAACTTAAAAATTTTAGTAGCCTGGTTGGTTCATTCATATATATATATATTCTAAGATTATGTATATAATATTTTTTAAAAAAATAGATATAGGAGTTTATAAAAAATTAGATTACTTAAATGCATTTCAAGTCTTAACATAACACTTCAACTATTTGAAAATTTCTTTATATAAAAATTGCTTAGTTTAAATTTTATTCTATAAGTGAATACAGTTTTTATTCTAGTTAAGAGTATTTAGTTTCTAGAAAATAACTATAATCTATAATAAATATAAAACAGTTTAATGAACAGCAATTTATTTTATTTTTTATTTTTATTTTTTATTTTTTTAATTTTAAAATTATTTTCTTTTTTGTTTTTTTCTTCTTTATAAAAAAATATTATTATTTTTTTTTTGTATATTAAAGACCATACTTTGTGATGATACTTTATTGACTTTTATTGAGTTAGTTATTACAACTATTTTATACAAAGATGAGAGTACAACTAGTTACATGTGCAACTTTTAGTTGCCTATTTAAGTAAACTATTCTAAGATTCTACACTAAATGCCATACCTATAACCTACTAGGAGATTATTTATTTAAACCTTTTGATTATCTGCTCTGTTATGATGTAATCTTAACTAATCTTTTGTATATATCTAACCAATATACTGTTTAAGCAATATGATATCTACTTTTTTTATACTAGTTTTTAGCCTTTTTTTTTTTTTTAAATATTAAGATAAGTACTTGTAATCCAGAATTTTATTGATAATATATTTAGCTAATAGTTGTATTACACCCATAGAAAGCAATCATAGAAAGAGTGTACAACTAGCCACTCATATAACTTTAATCATTGTCTAATTTAAGTAGTTTATCTGAAGGTTCTACACTAGTTATCATACCTGAAATCTGCCTGTAGGTTCTTTATTTAACCACTCTAGTTTCTGTATTCACCCATCTACTTCTGTCTACCAATGACTCTGGCCAATGCTGATAAAAATAAGCCATAGTCACTAAGTCTTTAAAGCAGTTTACTTATATGAGGAATTTTTGACCTTGTACTAAACTTTCCAGAATCTTTTGTATTTTATTCTTATAGCTAACCTGGTATTACTATAGCTGAGACTAACACTAGCAGTCAAGGCATATTATTAAACCATTATGTTTTTGTAAAGTTTATCCTAACTCTAGTACTGACTTTATAACATATTCCTACTACTTTGATATTCAATTCAAGTTCTACCAAGCTTTCAAACCAGATAGCTCAGAAAAGCAGATCATAACCATACATCTTTGGTTTACATGTTTGCTAATATATAACCTTTTTCTCTGAAATGAGTCTTGACAGCCTGGTTGGTTCTATTTAGCCTCTTCTCAAAGGCTGGCTCTGTGCCTAGTTTTACAAGTTTTAGCTCTGTTTTATAGGTCTAGTCTTTACAATAACATCATCAAAAGTTTAGATTATCTCTTTACTTGGGTCTTTCAAGTAGGCTTCTGTCTTCTTATCTAGTTCTTATGATTTATACTATCTAAGGACTTATCTTGGGTTCATACTGCCTGGTACGGTTTGTATTCCTTTATACAATATTGCACGAATGCCTAGACCTTTTAGTTATGCTGATATAATACAAGTTACAGGTAACTTATCCCAACCAATCACAGAAAACAGTTAATTGTAACACAAAAATTGCAAATTTTCACTATCACTAGGATTTGAACTCTAGATCTGCCACTTGGAGGTTAACAACCTATTCACTTCACTAGATCACTATATCTCTTAGTTTTTAGCCTGTTATACATATCAGAATATAATACTTATTAGTAAGATATAGAAGATCTTTTTTGTTAACTACCTACTTACTTTATAGAATATTAATAAAGACTACTCTTGCAGAGTTCACTCAGACCTTAGTACTAATTTTATAGTATATTCTTAGTACTTTTAATATATTATTATTTTTGTTTTCAGACTTCTAATCCAGATAGCTTAGAAGAACTATAACCTGTCCTTGGTATATCAAAACCAGTCTAATATTTTTTTTCTCTAATCTGAAATTTGATAATCTGGTTAATAATATCTCTTATCCAAGATTCTTGTCTGTTTGATTTCTTTATATTAGTATCTATTTTCTAAGTCTAGACTTTACAGTAGTATTATTAAAGATTCATACTATCTTTCTACTTAGTATTTTTAAATAGGCTTTAGTTTTTCAGTTTTACAAATTTACACAGTTACAAGAACTTATTTTAAATATGCACTACCTGATACTGGTTTGCATCTCTCTGTGTAACCAAAGTTACACAGCTGCCCTATAATCTGTTAGTCATACTGATGTAATTATAGTTACAGATATCTTATCTCAATGTTACAGATATCTTATTTCAACTGATTAACAGAATGCTATCATTATAATACCATCTACAGTAGGTGATTATCCAAATTTTTACTGCCAATGGGTTTTAAACTCATAACCTATCACTTAGAAAATTAACAACTTATTCACTTTACTAAGTTATCATATTCTTATAAAAAAATATTTTTAAATTAATAATATTTTATTATAAAACAAGAATTAAACAAGTTATAATTCTAATCTTAACTGAATTCATATAACAGATCAAATTTAAATACTATTTAAATAACTGAGTAATAGCAGACTTATATGTTAAATAAAATTCTGTATTTACTTATATAGTTACAAATAGTTAATAAAGTACTATTATAATTACCAAAGAAAAAAAATTTAAACATTATATATAACTTGTACAAAGATGAGTGTACAACTATATATCACATACAACTTTTAAATACTTATATATTTAAATAATCTGCTCATAAGCTTTATACTAACTGTAATCTATTAGAAGATTATTTATTTAAGTTTTTTTAATCTCTATACTGCACCAGATGAATAATATCTGGCTTCTGTACATCAAAATACCATCTAATCTAAAAAAAAACATATTGTTAAAAAGCTTTACTAATAATAAATACAATTTTAAAAATTTTTTGGTTAATTATCGCATGTTCGAATGGTTAACCAATTATACATCACCATTCAATTTTATGTGATTGACCAATTACGAAAAAGTTATCCTATCAAACAAACCAAACAACACCAGGTGACAATTAATATCGCACTAATTACAACAGATATAAGAAACATATTTATTTATTTAAAACTTAATTAGTTCTAATAAATAAGGTTTATATCACCGTTAATATTTAAAAAAATAAAAAATAAAAAAATAAGTTTTATTATACTTTTACAAATAATTATATTTATATAAATTAATCAAACTTTTAAAACTTTAAAATCTAATAGTTTTTTATCTGTTATTATTCTTAAGATAAACCTACCCAAAGCAATCTGTATTCGCTTTATATATTCATCTAGAATTTGCAATAAGATCACATAATGCGAAATTTTTTTTGCCTGACGTTACTGGTCTAATAAGCTCGATTTGCTCTATTCACATATAAACATTTTCCAAATGTAATACAAATTACTCGGATACTAATCAATTTCAAAGTCAAGGTTTTGAATAAGACTATAAGCAGTGCTATACGGTATATATAAACTTTAAGCTGAGATAATGTTTCACCTATTCTAACAGGATTATAGCTCAACAAATTTGTATAATAAAGATTAATATTCATACTTTTAATTTTTATTAGTTTATTGGTTTTTTTTTCAAGTATGTATAAAGTTTATATTACAAGGACGAATACCTTTCTATGAGTTTTATGAAAGGAAAGCGTATTTTTCCAGCATAAAGCTTATTTTTTTACATTTTTCTTATGTAACAATCTTGTTTTGAGGAGCATTGCCAGAGTTTGGGATGAAACTTTTAAAAAATATTGGTAATTTGTGAAAATCCTATAAAATTTTCAATGTGACAAATTGTGTAACTGGTTCGTGTGTGCGTAGTAAACGAGGAAAAAGTACGTGATTCAAAAATCTTAAGAAACTTTCAAGGTTACTTTACTTGAAAGTGTGGTTTTTCACGATCTACAGCATGAGTCAAAGATACTCAGCATCACCTTCTCCCCGTCCTGGGACTCCAACACAAGCCAATGGATCAGCTCTTGATATTTCAATCGGTTGCAAGTTATTCGTTGAAGTCAAAAAAGGGAAAAAGGAACAACAAGAAGAATTTCGCAAGGCCGAAATTTTATCTATCCGCACAAATAATGCCAGTCAAACAGAATATTACGTACACTTTATGGAATTTAATAAAAGATTAGATGAATGGGTTGGAATCGAAAGGTTAGATCTTTCGAGGGAGATCGAAAGGCCTGTTAAAAAACGTACAAGCAAAGGTGGCTTTAGAGAAACTGATACATCATCTTGCATTGGTTCACCGACGCGAGATGGTAGCCGAACTCCAGCTTCAGTGGGACAGAAAAGAAAGATGTCATCATTAGAAGATCCACCCACTCCTTCGATCGAACTACAAAATGATGATTACGATTCTGTTGACGGTAATGTGACACCCGGCAATATGACACCTTCGGGTCCCATGGCTACTACTTTCTCAAAAGCACAAGAGATCGAGAGACTTCGTGTCTCTGGATCGATGACGCAATCACATTCTGAAATTTCAAGAGTAAAAAATCTTGAAAAAATTCATTTTGGGGAATATGATGTTGAAACCTGGTACTTTTCACCGTATCCTCGCGAATACAGTGATGCGGCAGTGGTTTATATTTGTGAATTTTGTCTATTTCACTTTATAAGCGAAAAGCAACTTCAGCGACATTGCAAGAAGTGTACTGTTCGACATCCTCCTGGAAACGAAATTTATCGATGTGATGATATTTCTTTTTTTGAGATCGATGGCAACAAGCAAAAAGTTTATTGTCGCAATTTATGCCTTCTATCAAAATTATTTCTCGATCACAAAACCCTTTATTACGACGTTGACCCCTTTCTTTTTTACATAATGTGTAAACAAGATGAATACGGGTGTCATATGATCGGGTATTTCTCAAAAGAAAAGGAAAGTACCGAAGGCTACAATCTTGCGTGTATTCTCACCCTCCCTCAGCATCAAAGAAAAGGTTTTGGTAGATTGTTGATCGCTTTTTCTTACGAGCTTTCTAAAAAAGAAGGCAAAGTTGGGTCACCAGAAAAGCCGCTCTCAGATCTTGGGCTACTTTCCTATCGCTCTTATTGGAGTGAAGTAATAGTAGAGCTCTTATTAGAAACAAAGGAGCTCAATGAAGATATTGCCATTGAAGATATTTCGGCAAGGACAAGTATCGCTACCACTGATATCATTCAAACTTTGCAAACTCTTGGTGCGATCAAGCCTTATAAAGGACAACAAATTATTTGCCTATCTGATGGTGTTATTGCTTCATATCACAAGGCAAAGGAAAAACATAAAAATCGGCGAATTGAAGAATCTTGTCTCCAATGGACTCCACCTCATTTTACTTCAAATCAATTGAGATACCTTTGATTTGAACTGTTAATTGGAAAATTATAATTGAATAAATAGACAAAGGGACTTTAATTGAATCATAATCTGTTTAGATTATAACAGGTTTGGTATTTCTATTTATAATTATTTTTATCTTTTTTGTTTGTAGATTGTAGTAGTTTGCAAATATATATACTGTGTATATATTTATTATTATTTTAGAATTGTACGGTTTAATAATAAAGTTATAATATTTGTATTATATCCAATAAAAATTTTTATAATAAATTTTGTTTTAATTTTGAAGTTAAAATTAAAGAAATTTCTATTTGTATATTAATGTATGATATTCGATCGACTAATCACGTACAGTCGTACTTGGGTTATAGTCACGTGATATGTGGCCAATCAAAATATAACCTTCTGAATAATACAAATCTTATTTTATTAAAAATAATAATGTTTATCCACACCTAAGGATTTGGCTTATAACTTCAAAACTTATTAATTAATCTATGTACTTAATGATTTTATATTAATTCTTATTTCTTGATAATTATATTATATTATTTTTAGATCATATACTTGCATAATTAGCAAGTTAAGGAGTGTAGTGACCTAGTGAAATGGTCAGGTTGTCAACCTTCCAAGTGGTAGGTTGGGTGTTCAAATCCTATCGATAGTGAAAATTTGGATAATCACCTAGGTAATATTTATATCATGGTAACTGTTACTAATGATTGGATTAGGATACCTGTAATGGCAGTCACACCAGCATTATTAGTAGGTTATGGAGCATCTGTGTAAGTATGGCATTATACAGAGGAATGCAAACCAACAGATTGGGCAATGCAAACACTAGATAAGTCCTTGTGATTATATAAATCCATTGAAATTAGATAACAAGAAGTTCATTTGAAAAGACCTAAATAAAAAGTTAATTGGATCTTTAATAGTCTTACTGTAAAGGTTAGCTCAGAAAACAGATATTAAGGTTGTAGTACCTGGTCATAATAACTAAACAGACAAGAACTTTCAAGTTGGAAGTTTCAGAAATATTACCAATTAGGTCATCAGAACAAACTAGAGGAAAAAGATATTGGGTTAATCTGATATACTGATGGACTGATCATAGTTCTACATAGGCTATCTAAATTGAAAATTTGGTAAAAAGATAGATGAAAAGACAGAGGTATACTAAATACCAGGATTATATTGTAAAGTAGATACTGGAGTTTAAATGAATTTTATAAAAACATAATAGTTTAATAGTCAGCCCTGATCACAAATGTTGGTTCTGTTATAATAATATCTAGATTAGTTATAAAAATAGGTACAAAAAGTTCTGGGGGATTTACCATAAGAATAAATTAGTTCTAAGGTTGAGACAATGATCTAAACATCTGAATATGATCTAATGAGTTAACACAGCTTACAGATTTAAAGGGTTTAAAATGAAATACCCAAACAGGAATGTTAAATATGACAATTGGTAGAGAACCTTTGGATGGACTTCTTAAATAAATAATATAGAAAAGTTACACATGTAGTCAATTGTATTCTCTCCTGTAGTGATTCATTGAACCACAATACTAATAAGTGATTAATAAAAGTCAAAAGACCAAAGAGATTACCTTAATAAAATAAAAATAAAAAATAAAATAATTAGCAAATTATTTAACTTTACTTTTAGGATTTTGATAAATTTGATAAATAGTTATGTTTTTATATAAATATTTTAATAATTATCAGTTTAAATTTAATAAAAGTTTAATATATTATAGAAGAAATTATTCTTTATAAAATAATATAAATTTTTCTTAATTTTAATTATTAGTTAATAAGAAAATTAATAAAAACAAAAATTTTATATTTAAATTTTAAGGTTAATTTTCTTAATGATTGTTAATCTAAAATAAATAATTCTTTTTTTATTTAATAGATACATATTTTCTCTATAATATAAAAAAAAAATATTAAAATCTAATTATTAATTATAGAGATAATTCTTTTTTTTTTTTTTTTTTAAAGGTTATACTTGTGGTAATATTTTATTAACTTACATTAGGTTAGTTATTACAACTATTTTTACAGAAATAAGAGTACAGTTAGTTATATGTACAACTTTTGGTTGCCTATTTAAATAGTTTGTTCTAAGGTTCTGTACTAGATACTATATCTATAATCTACTAGAAAATTATTTATTTAAACCCTCTGATCATTCATCCTGTCATATTGGAATCTCCAACTTATCTTCTATATATACCTAACCAGTATATTATCTGAACAATATGGTTATCTATCTTTTTTATACTAGTTCTCAGACTTTTACATATTTCAGAATATGTCATCTGCCAGTAAGGTGCAGGGGGTCTTTCATTGTTAACTATCTACTCACTTTTAGAACACTAACATGAGCTACCCTTACAAAGTTCACCCAGACCCTAGTACTAACTTCATAACATATTCCTAGTACTTTTAGTATATTTCTACTTAGAAACCAAACTTCCAATCTAGATAGCTTAAAAGAACTATGACCTGTTCTTGATATATTAAGACTGACCTAATATTCTTTTTCTCTGGTCTAAAATTTGGTAACCTAGTTAGTAGTACCTCTTATTCAAGGTTCTTGCCTACTCAAATCCTCCATATTGATATTTATTTTCTAGGTTTAGCCTTTATAGTAGTATCATTAAAGATCTGTATTATCTCTTTGCTTAAAATTTCCAAGTAGGTTCTGGCTTCTCAATTCTATAGATTTATACAGTCTAAGAACTTATTTTAGGTTTGCACTGCCTAGCACCAGTTTGCATTCTTTTGTGTAACAGATTACACAGATATTACAGACCTGCCAGTCATGCTGGTACGACTATAGTTACAGGTATCCTATTCTAACTAATCAACAGAATGCTATCATTATAATACCATCTATATATTACATAAGTGATTATTCAAATTTCACTGTCAGTAGGTTTTGAACTCACAACCTACCACTTGAGAGTATGGCAACTTATCTACTTCACTAAGTTGCTACACTTTACAGAGATAATTCAAATAATTTATTATAATATATTAATTTTTATTAGCTATTATATATCTTAATTATCTTAATAACTAATAACAAACTTTGAAATTTTTTTTTATTTTGTAAAGAATATATAATATTTAAAATTTATTTGATTTCAATTACTAGAAGTTGAACTAATTAAGGTTAAAGTTTACTGTTTAATTTGTAATATTATGCTATGATTTTATTAATAATTATTATGTTTATTATATAATATAATAATTAAAGTATCACCTTAATACCAAAAAAATAATAATAATAATAATTAAAGTATACACAATTTGCTAGTATATATTTTTTAGAGAATCAACTCTCTCTGATGATCACTTGTACCGAATTTCACACCAACAAAAACGGAAAACTTATTGGAGAAAGTAGAAGAGGCTACTATACAA